GATACTGTCAGGAGAGACATAACAATGTCTCTGATCTCGCCGGATGCGGATTCGAGGAGGAAGACTACCCTGTTGTCGACTATGTGATGATACTTTAGTCCGCTATGTCGACAACAGACAGATAGGCTACCCCAAATATTGTACTGGTGTGATTATGGTGAATAAGAGCAATGGCCGGCTTCGGGCAACAGGATGTAGGGCTATTACCTGCCAGATAAGGAGCCCGAACCTGTATAAAAATCCATGTCTCCATCTCTTTTACCTCAATCTCGCATATACCCTGGTACCAACGATCCTCATACCATCCAAATACCGTAGTCGTGATACCAAACGTCGACAGTATGAAAGTTTTGATGTGATGGAAAAGTTGGAAGTTTGAAGAAAAAGTTTGGAACTAAACACGGCGTGGGTCTATCTTTTTAACTAAAAAACCGTTAAAGATTATGCATAAAATAAAGTGAGATTTTTTTACTTAATACTCCCTCCGTCCTAAAATATAAGCATTTTTAGTACAGTGACAAGTCAACTATTTTAAATTTTAACTATTAATAGAAAAAAATTAAAAAGATCAATCATATAAAATTGATGTTACTAGATTTATCATTAAATAAACTATCATAATATGTAAATTTTTATTTAAAACATCTTATTTTTATAGATATTATTGGTTAAAGTAGTATCTCGAAAACCGAATCAGAGTTCAAAAATGTTTATATTTTGGGACGGAGAGAATACTGCATACGAGAACTATAGATAAGATATGTTGGAAATTTGGTCATAATTCGGCATATTTTAATCCAAAATATTAAGACAATAAACATGACATTTGCAATATGAATAGATCTAGTGACAGTGCTAGATGTATACAACTTGAGTATTCTTAATATGAAATAAGCATCAACATTTACATAGTAACACAATGCTGCCATTGCGAAGAGTATTAACAAAGAAGCATCTAATAGAATCAGGAGAATGAAAGTATACCCTGAGAACGTCCCACCGCTGGATTTTGAGGCAGTATTGTCTCCGTTGATGTCGTTCATCATCTTGTCTCCAATCTCCGTCGACATCTTGGTGAAGGCGTCGATGCAGCAGCAGTAGCCGTGAAGAACAAGAGCAGTCGCGCTTGAAGAGTTACCCAAAAACTTGATCGTCCGCCTACCCGTGCAGGTTCTCAAGCGGACAGAGTTTCGGAGGCACCTGCTCGTCCCGTACACCTGTGCGCGCAGGTGAACAGAACCGAGGAAGGATTCTGCAGCTCAAGAACAGAGGAGGAGGAACTCGAAGTGCAAGAGAGGTCGTGAAGAACTTCCGTCCTTCTGAGGAGGAACTCGAAGTGCAAGAGAGGTCGGGAAGAACTTCCGTCCTTCTGGTCGCTGCAGAGTATATATATGCGAGCGCGGGAGTCACATTCGGAGTCATCAACCGCGGTGTTTAATTCCGTTACCGACGGAATCAATTCACGGCGTTTAAATCAATTCTCTGTGTTTATTACCAATTCACGGCGTTTAATTCCGTAACCGACGGAGTCAATTCACGACGTTTAAATCAATTCTCCGTGTTTATTACCAATTCACCGTAACCGACGGAATCATTTCACGACGTTTAAATCAATTCTCCGTGTTTATTACCAATTCACGGCGTTTAATTCCGTTACGGAATCAATTCACGACGTTTAAATCTGCGTTTAATTCCGTAACCTCCGTGTTTATTACCAATTCACGGCGTTAATTCCGTAACCTCCGTGTTTATTACCAATTCACGCGTTTAATTCCATAACCGACGGAATCAATTCTCTGTGTTTATTACCGTCCGTTACAAAAGAGAGAGCGCAGCAGCAATTGTCTGTCTCGCCTCGCCCCGTCTGGTTGTCCGCGCACCATCTCAACCGGTCAAGAGACTCTCCACTAGCTCCGTATTTAAGTTGAGACCTTTTCACTTAGATTTCCAAGGTGGTATTATTACCCATAGCACTTAATGTGGGCCAATAGAATTTATTAGGATTTAATTGGGTCTAGCCCATTAATCTAATAAGATAGTATAAAAGGATCCATAATTCTTACCCCATTACCAGTTTATCACCCTACCCTTAGGTCCCTGAGCATGGACCATGGTTAACAGAAAGCACACAGGTGTGCAAGTGCATTTAGCGCGTCGCCTGGTTGTGGACTTGTGGCCTGTGGGATCTTTTTGGAACGGCAGCAAACTGTCTCCCTCGCACAGTTCGCACGCAGTCGCTGGCTCACAAGTTGGGCGGGGCTCGCGTCCGTCCGTCCACGTGGCTTGCGGCAGCCAGCCATGAGCCATCGCACGGGGCGAACCGACCGGTGGCTTCTGCGGCTTTTGCCCGGCGGGAGCAGCACGAGCAGTACAGTTACACAGTAGTAGTAGTTACGTCGTACACTGCTGCATGGGGGCAGCTTGGCCTGGGCTGAGCTCCGCACCGCGCGCTGGTCACACACGTGTTCCCCTGGGCTGCATGTGGTCGCATGAGTCATGGCTCGCATTGATCAACCGTATGCTGTGATGCTGTCCTGCGCGCAGCAGCGTCACGCCGTATGCTATGCTGTGACGCTGTGTTTGCTCGCCTCAAGGCGCGGTTCATGCCTGGATTTTTCACATTTTGTTTCTTTTGAAAAACTTATTTCCTAAATAGACTCCTGAAAAAACTTATCCCAAAAATAATTTTTTTTGGGGCGCCAGAGTGGCTGGCGCCGTCATCCAACGGGATGACGGTTGGCGCCGTCCTCGCCTCCATTCCTGTTTCTCTGTATGGAGTTACAACGGTGTCATTTTTTTTATTTTTTCGGATGTTTTTTCACACTTAGGATCACGATACAATCAACCACAAAAAAAATTTAAACTCGAACTAGCACTTAGCTAAGTCTGAAAATAGCTAGCATACCACTTATTCTACTTTACACCTTCACTAAAATTAGACCATAACTCCTTTAGTAAAACCCTTTGATCAGTATGTTACACATAATGCACTCTATCACTATATGAAATTACTTAATCTAATTCAAAATATAACCACATGAACAGTACAGAGAGATGCAATTTTTTTATTTTTATTTCATTTTTTTGATTTTTTTTTACACTTAGGAGAACATAGGAACCAACCATATAAAAAATAAATTCAAACGGACAAAATATGTGACTTGTATAATTTTCCAAAACTCTACCGAAACAGACAAAATATATCATTTATTAAAATAGGCGTAACTTTTTCATACGGACTCAGAATCAGGCAAATAATATATCCACGGACATCTACAGAAAATGTTACATCCGATTCTCCATATTCCGGGTAGAGCTTTGGAAAATTCCACAGGACACATATTTTGTCCGTTTGAGTTTATTTTTTATATGGTTAGTTCTTGTGAGTTCCTAAGTGTGAAAAAAAATATCAAAAAAATAAAATAAAAAAGTTGCACATCTCTCTCCTCTGCACTAGTTCGGAGAGAGAGGAGAGGAGAGGAAAAATTCCACAGGTCACATATTACATCCATTTGAGTTCATTTTTTCTATGGTGGGTTCTTATATGTCTCTAAGCGTGAAAAAAATATCAAAAAAGAAAAATAAAAATAAAAAAATTCGGGGGGGGGGGGGGGGGGGACGCCAACCACTCTGGCGCGCTCCCCCTAGCCACCTCAGCATCGCCCCGCCACGTCGGCAGGGGGACGGCACCAGCCACTCTGGTGCCCAAAAAGGACCATTTCTGGGATAAGTTTTTTCAGGGGTCTATTTACGAAATAAGTTTTTTAAAAGGACCAAAATGTGAAAAATCCAGCGGTTTATCTGTGGTTGTGTTTGTAATACGGAGTAGTACAAGTTGTTGCGGTACTCGCAAGATAGTGGCGGTCTGCTGCTGCTGCTTCTGTCAATTGGAATTGGAACAGCTTGAGCGATGGAGTATTCATAATTCCTCTCTGCAAAAATATCTCTTCCCCTGTTACAATCTGCTCGGTCGCTATTGGGTGCTCGCCGAGGCGCGGAGCACACATGTTTGGGGGTTTGGGCCCACGCTCCTTCGCTGAAATGGGACCACCCCCTCTACGTTTGATGTACTTTATTGTTTGAGTAAATTGCATCACCGGTACACGAACTTGTCAGATGTGTACAATCTAGTGCATGAACTTGTAAAATGCTCGTTTTGGTGCATGAACTTGTCTAGCATGCGGAGGAAGGCGAAAAGGACACTATATTGCTAATCTTATTGATTTAGGGCATATATCTAAGAAGGTTGCTATTAGACATACACCTCTTCAATAAAAAATAGAATAGAATATAGTGATAGTAGAAAAAGATTAAAAAAACGAGCAATGGTATAAATGTTAGAAATATATGAAATTCATTATTTTTATGGTGAAGAATAAACTAGAGACCAAATTTATAAATATTGAATGTCCTATGCATACTCACTACACGCATGCACGTCACATCCTAATCAACATCGCTTCATAAAATTATCATTTTTAAATTATTTTGGTCCTCATTTACATTGACAAATTCATATACTGAAATGAGCATTTTACAAGTTTATGTATTAAATTGCACCCACCTAACAAGTTTGTGTAGCATCAATGTAATTTACTCTTATTGTTTCGAAGGGACTAGTAGTCCAGATGTCAAGTGTATAGAAGAATAATCGTCACAACGATGCAGTCATACAGAAAATCATTTGAACTATTAGTCAAGTCGAGGTATGTTTTTGTTCGTGTGTGCTCTAGCCGTCAGAATTTTTGTTTGCTGATTTTTATTAATCGCTTTTGTGGAGGCTTATACATGCAACAGTTTATTGTTGAATGGGTAGCTAAGATGAAGCAACGGCGAAGTCTGCCTTTGAGGCCAAAGGCAGACGATGTGAACCCTTAAATGTTCGGCAATGTTAAATCCAGCAAAGTCTTTTGGATATATCTGAATTCTGAAACGGCCCCGATGCAACGATCCTGTGCTAATTCTAAACGTTTTAACGCATGGAAGCTCAAACTCCAACGTGCAACGATTGCCGCTAATTTTCGATTTTAAATTTGGCAATTTCAGGGGTCAGGCAATACAGAAACGGTGCTTGCGATTCTTCGTACAGGTGCATACCCCGTTTCTACGAATAAATCATATATGTCAAGACGTTTCCAAAAGAGATATTACAACATTTTTCCGTCCCTACTATGAACATACAAACAGCATGAGATTGGTGCTTCTGTCAGCTCCTTTGATCTTGGATGTTCTAGACGGCATGGCGAGCTCATTTGGCACTTCTGTACATGTTGTCAATTGTTCCCTGCAAATCGAAGTAAATTTAGAGCTGCTAGTTAACCTCTGAATGTAAGGCGTCCGAAAACCCTTTTTTTTGGTTCTTAGTACAAAAAACAAATAGTGGAATTCTGCTGAAATAAAGGGACAATAGCTTCAGAATTATCGAGATCTAAAACTGATTCAAAGGACCAAGTAAGCAAAATGAGAACGTTCTACACGCGTGAAGTATGTAAACAACATATGCCATCAGTATGACGAGAATTTGAATGAGCAATACCTGGTAGTACTTGAGCAATTGAGGGCGCTTCTTTTTATATGTTGGAGTAATCAAATCACGGTCCATGTCAAATGGCACTGGTTCAAGATGTACAGCCTTTATGAATTCAAAACCTTTGAGCTGCAAAAGTACGTAGAAAGTTAAGGAGTTAATAGGAGCAAGCGGACAAACGTGATATATAGAAGAGATTAATTTCCTTTCAGGAAAAAAAAGCAAGCAATAATCAAAATATTACCTTCTTCTCTTTTCCTACTTTTGACAGTTCTCCCAAAATGTATTCTTTTGCTTTGGGGTTCTCACACAATGCCTCCAAATCACCACTGATTCCATTTGCTGCAGCCCAGCTCTCCAATGCTTCCTTGTTTGGATTGACCACAGCAACAAGGAATGACTCAAAGCTATTCCCATATACCCATATCTGAACAGATGTTCAAAAAAAAAAAAAACAGAGGAAAGTTTTTCAAATTGTTTTAGCAGAAACAGAAGGTAATGACCCATCAGTCATTTATGATACCAAAAAGGCAAAAACAATGTCGCAGAATAAATTTAAGGAGCAGAGAACTTTAAAGCAGATAGCCATATACCGAATCTATAGCAGAAACAAGACCATAAATGTTCTCCAAATTTTCTACTGCTACATATTCTCCTTGTGAAAGCTTGAAGATATTCTTTTTGCGATCTATGATTTTCATACTTCCATCAGGTTGCCACTCACCAATGTCTCCTGCAAGCAGAGAACAGATGTTTCAATTTTCAAACCTCTCTTTGCAACTAGCTGATCATATTAGTACTGTCATCCAGGCACAGTTTAGTAAAAGAGAGTAGAATGCCTTGCAATCTAAAGCGGATGTATACTCTGATTAATTGCTGCTTAAGCTTAGCTAGTTAGCCCATTCTCAGTATCACAGTGTGGACCTACTATTGATATTACAAGGCCTAAAATATTAAAACATGAATCCTACTCCAGAAATGAAATTATTGCAATTGTGGAAATGGTATCTGACATTCTTTTTACTGCTGCAGCCACTAAAATCTACAAAAAGCCCCCATAAGGAGAGAAAAAAAAAACTATGAAAAAGCAAGACATACCAGTATGGAACCATCCATCAATCAAAACATCCTTTGTAAGGTCTTCACGCTTGTAGTATCCTGAGAATACTGTTTCTCCCCTGATGCAGATTTCGCCACGCGGTCTAGTTGCAAGTGCATCATAATTCATTTCAGGCACTGATTCCAGGCAGACATCAATATTTGGCACTGGAGGACCAACAGTCCCTATCATGCACATCTGATTTGGTAGGGAGACGAAAGATCCAGCACAAGTCTCCGTGAGACCTAAAAGAGACCAAATGATTCAAAACAAAGTTCTGTTGGAAAAAAAATTCAGGTTACATGGATCAATGATAATGACCTACAATTTAGGAAACTTTTGTTTGTTTTTATGGAGGAAACCAATTTAAGAACTAGTGCATGTTGACAGCGTTTGGAAAACAACTGGTAACCAGCCCATAACTGGTTAGAAGGTGGTGAATAGTGCCAGAACAAACCAGCTGCAATACTTTAATTTAGATTTGAAATTCGTAATTTAATAATTTTGATATTTACTAACAGAAGCACTTTTTTGCTGACCAGTTACCTTCTGCTTCGGGCTGGTACAATGCTACTTGTTAACAACCAGTAACCATTGTTTGAATTCCAATATTTGAATGTTTGTCTGGTAAATTCCGTTAACCTACTGGTTACCAGTCCAGCCCAGGAGATTAGTATTTTTTTCCACCAATTTTAAAACTTTGCATGTTGCACAACAAAATCAAATCAAAACTTCCATTCAAAAAACAGAGATTTCCATCAACACAATTGCCTTCTATTAATATTTTCAGAGTTTATCTTTTGCTAGTAAGAGCATAGATTGAATAGACCAATAACATCAGTGATGTTGTCATCAAAACAATTGAGTTATCCCATCAAGTATATATAGCATCGTAGAAAATAACTTTACCTACTCAGTTACATCAATTTATAATGCTTTAATAATTAATTGGATGGTATGTCTAATGCATACAACTAAATAAAAATGATTGTACTGATCAAATGGACTAGAAAAGACATGATAGATCAAGAGAGTTGCAAGTGTTCTTTTATCACAAGATTTTCGGTCCAGTCTTTGCGTTCGTACTCCTCCCGCTATGACTGCGGGCGGGTATTAGGATTATTTATTAATCTATAGGCTGTTCAACTCCTAGACCTTTACTCTCCTAGACCTTTGGTCTTATGTAATTCACTTGTATTGATTGTATCTCAGCACTAGCATTCATTGTAATTCAGCTATATATATAAGAGATCACCTCCCCTCTTAGGTGAGGCATCTATCCTACTTTCTCTACAAAGATAACAAACAAAGATATACCATATCCTTGTAAGACATGTGCACAAGTCACCACTCTCAGGTATTCTTCAACATGAGTAGCAAGTGGAGCAGCTCCGGACAAAATAACACGAACATTTCCCCCAAGACCTTCTTTCACCTGAAGCATGATAAATTAAATTTCTAAAATAAGAATGGCAAGTTTAAGAACACATAAGAGTGAAGAAGTAGCGACTGCAAAGTTCAACTACCTTACTGAAAACTACTTTGTCACATATTGCGGCAGCTTCATTGTGCTTAGCTCCTTTCATCATTCTAAATTGCTTGCTGCAAAATATAATACCTAGGTCATACTCGATTCTGTGACAGGTGAAATACTTCAATTTGATAGTTACAGATTATTAACTAATACTAGCATAAAGTGAACTTCAGAAGAAACATTGGACCTATAATATTAAAAGTGCAAACAACTATTCCACATTTTCTATTCCCCAAAAGGCAAACATTCAGAGTACAAAGAGTAGTAAACTTACAATTTGTAAGCAAGATTGAACAATGTACTCTTTATGAAACCCCCAGATGCAATTTTAGCTTGGAGTCCTGAATAAAGGGTAAAAATAAGGGAAAGTTCCATGAGCACGAGCAAACTCTAGCAAGATCACACTCACAGTGACAATATCAAATCCTTTTAAAAAGTACAAGCAAACTTCAAGTCGACAGAACAAAACTATCACCAGGTTCATGCATGAGCATATATAAACAAACAGAAGATCCTCATATACCAAAAGCACAAATATGGTTCAAGTTTGCATTAGAATAAGATATGAAGTACTCAACATTCAACTATTGTTAGACACAGGAGAATTCCTTGGTGAAGTAAGAAACACCAATAACAATATAGCCAAGTTATTAGGTAGTTTCTTGAGTAAATTAGTATAAACACCTTGCCATGACATGTCAAGAGTATCAGTGGATCAGACAGCCAGCCATCTAAGAATTTACCAAACAAAAGAGCAAACCACACCATTAAGACCAATAAGAAGTATTTCACCAAAGGAAAATGACAGATTCAATCTATATTAATTAGTGTATATATTAAAACAATATCATCTAAGAATAATTGCTATTGAACAATATGATCAAATGATAAATATCTACTGTCTTGCCTCACTTAATCACAAAAATATCTCACTGGATGCCTATGAAAAAGTATGACGACTGTTAATAATTTTCCATACACTTCAAGAGCTCCTTACCAGAAAATATCCGGTCAAGCACACGTGGAACAGCACACAAGATAGTTGGTTTCAGTGTCCCAATATCTTCAACAAGCAGCTTAACATCCTGAACCAAATTTTTAAGATAGTCATCACAGGTTCAAAAAATCAAAATCCAAGAGGGATCAGTAAACATGTAACGGTGCTTACCCCACGCCAAAATCCAATGGAAGCACCATGGAACATAAATAGCTCTTCCACAACACGATCAAAGATATGAGCAAGTGGAAGATAAGACATGTAAACATCGGTTTGCTCCAGCTGAGATTCCCGCATAGTTAAAGCAATTAAAGATTGATCAGTGATTATATATGGATGCATAATGAAAGGGCTGCTGGCATATCTTACCTGCTCATTTACACAGTTAAGCAGCCGATCTACACCTGCGACTAGGCAAATAATGCTTGCATTGGAGATCAGTACACCTTTGGGGTCACCAGTAGTTCCACTGGTATACATTATAGTACATATGTCAGTCTTTGCTTTCACTGGAAGATCGAATTCTTGGTCTGCCTGAAGATACAATGTCATGTGAAAAATAGAATATCTGAAAAGCTATCCTAATAAAATAGGTGTAAAATGAACTCTTGAAACAACTTTCCAAATTAGAAAGAAACAAAACTACGAGAGGTTTAGGACCATAGGTAGACTGTAGTAACTGGTGACAACAAAAAGTTAGCAAACTTGACAAAAGTTTGTAGGCAAACAACATTAAAAATTAGCGTTTTCAACTTCCATGTTATACAAATGAAGTTACATCAAAATCTTTGCCTATACAGGTATTGAAGGATCTGTGGATAGACAAATACTAATGTGCACATTGCCACATCATTATGAGGCATTTATGTTTAAGAAATGATAATGTCAAAACGAACTGCATATAAAATTGCTGGCAGCATGTCTTACCAAAGAAAGAAATTCATCCCATGAATAGATCTCCAGCCCATATTTGGAGGCATTTTCCTTTTGTTCCTGAGTTACCTTCCCAAAACTAACGATTGCTGCAAATAGTATTACATCTTTAATTTCATGGTAGAAGCATGTTATTTCTTGATGATGGTATGGATGAGTGAAACCTACTTTTCAAGAATTCAGCTGACTTGGGGAAAGTCTTGAAGATCTGCCAAGTTGAAATTACTCAATATGCATCCGGAGAGATAAAGCATGCTTTGATATGATGAGATACCCACAACCCATTGACACAGTCGCAAAACAACCATCGAAGTGTCGTCCAAAATATAAATAACACAATGTAATACAGTTGAAACAAGATAATTGTGTAACTATAGAAAACTGTCTTGGAAACATGCATTTTTTTTAAGTAGAATGAAGCAAGGTTTCCATGGATCTAAACGGGTGATGGAGCTTTACAAAGCATAACTAAAAACAAAAATGAACTTAAGGAATACAGAAGAACAATTGGTGTACTGCTAGCTTTTCCCCAATGGACAGTTTACAGATATATTTCCAAAGATGCTCACCAAAATAAAGATTAATTTTACATATTCATCATACAGATAAAGACAATTATGTAGAAGGTCAACAACAGTGCAAGTATTCTCGATTCAGGATGCACTGCAATGCAATCATCGAAGTTCTACATACTGGTATGAGACAATGAAACAAAGTAACAAACTATACCTGCTCAATTTTTTTCTCCTCTGTGAAAGCAATCTCAACTTCTGCATGGCACAAAATAAACTCTACAGCACCAGCTCCTGCATCAAGAGCATATTTAATACAAAGGTATAAGCTGCAGTTGCATGTGTTACTATGTCGTTTCATTTTATGCATCTAAATGTGTCAACTAGGAAAAAGATCCTTTACTTATTGAATGACATTTAGCTCTTAGTTTGCTTATAAGAAAACAACAAGATCATCATAGGAAACTTATTTGCAATATGTTCTAATGATGTGACAAAGCTTTTTCATTCTTCTGGAAACATAATCATAGTTGCCATAAGAGGAGACCATAAATAGTTCTTGAGCACATGCTTAACAGTATCAAGGCTACCTTCCTCAGAGAAAGAAGCATAATGTTAACAGGTGCACAACTAAATGACCTACCACCGCCCCCAAGCAAGAAGTATCATAGAAGAAAACAATAAACTCGTCAATGTGTGTATAATGCTCTTAAGAAAATGTTAGGATATATACCAAGAGTGTCATATAATGGAACGCAGTAGATTCCATGAGCATTGCAGGCCTGAAAAGGACAGAAACATAAATTGGCGAGACATAAGTACCAAGCGTTACAATTGTTTCAGCAACATAAGTGCCCCAAAAGACAAAAATGACTAAATAATGGGTGAAAATTGACAGTTTACTTGCTGCGAAATGATGAGAGTGCATCCAGACAAAAGCTGGCTACAGAACAAGATTGAAAACATTACCTCCATCGTGATAATCCATTCAGGACAATTAGCACCATAGATACCACAACGGCTTCCCTGCAAAATTATCAAATTAAAATGAGATGGTATGATTCTTTAATCAAGATATAAGAATACATCAAAGTGTTGCTTCCAAGCTGAACAAAAAGTTCATACAATGTTTAATTCAATTAACAATGTTCAAAGAAATTAGCATCCCATCTCATGACATATATATAGAAAATATAATAAATTATTGACCAAACCTTTGCAAGTCCACGGCTCCTAATAGAGTTACCAATCTTAGTCGAAAGGTCAAACACCTCCTTGTATGTCTTCCAAACGTATGCACCAGCCTATAATAGCACAAAAATCCTATTTAGTTTTTTTTCTTTCTGGTATAACATTTCAAGGGAATAAACGAGTACATGGAGTGATTGAGGTACCTTCCCGTCAACAATCTCACGGTGACCAAGCATTCTGTTGTCTGGGAACTTCTCCACGGCCATTCTGCACAAGAACAGACATTGTCGAAATCAAGAAATTAGAGAAGCTCAGTAGGAGAAAAGGGTCATTAAATTGAAGAATTGACAGAATTCAGGCCAGCAACTAGAATGCAAAGGACAAACCAATCCTGTTAATTCCCTCTGTACTTTCCTATCCATATCCAGAAAGAGACCAGACAACATGGACCAGTCTGACATCACCATTACGACCCACAGATCGAACAACAACGGTGCATGGCTAGGCTGAAAGTGATTTTCCAGTTACAAATCACTCCCGCGGAATTCTACAGATCCATAAGGAATAGGAGGTCTGAAAATTATGGGACAGACAAAGATTAACTAATTGGCAAGGCTTTTTTTAAAATCTAAGCTAACTGTCCCCTGGTGAAGCATATGAACATAAGCAAGCATACCAAATCTAAGCACAGAATTTGTCACCCATTAATGAGAGATAAGATCGAAACTGAACCAAAGGACACCAAATCCCAACCTCCATGTGCAAACCAGAAATAAATAGCATACGGCCACTGGAAACAATCCTCTGAATCTCAGTGCCAGAACAGAATCCACGCATCAATTAATGTTCCCCCCAACCAACCAACCCATACACGAATTCAAGCAAACCGATGCTTGGCGCCTCGCCCACGCCCCGCCCGCCCCGCCTCCCACCGGAGGTCAGGCGAGGAACCCCTCGTCATCGTCGTCACAGCAGCAGCAGCCACTCACCGGAAGATGTCGTAGCAGCAGTCCAGGCCGGCGACGGGCGGCGGGAAGCCGCCGCGGGCGAAGGCGCTCCGGTAGGCGGGGCCCACGGAGGGCCGGCCGTCGGCGGCCGCGCGGCCCTGCTCGACCTCCACCACGTGCTGCATCTCCATGCCCTCCTCTTCCTCTTCTTCTTCTTCTTCGTATGCTTCTCCCTCTCGCTGCTTCGCTTTGCTTTGCTTGCTTCCCTCCTCTCTCGTGTTCGGGTCGCGTCGCGTCTGCCGTGGATGGAGGCGGTTTGGACTATTCCCGTGGACTGTGATGTAAGAGGCGGGGAGAAGCGGGGATTAAAATAGAAAAGGCGGCTGGGGGGCAGAGGAGAGTCCGTGGCAAGCGGGCCCACATGGCATGGACGGGGGTATTTGCCGTATTGGGCTTGTGTGAGAGCTGATTGATGGTGGGTGGAGCAGGCGGCCTAAGCGTTGGAGGCTAGCACAGTGGCAGCGGGGTTTCTTCGCTATCAAGCTTTAATAAGTAGCTCACCCATATTAATTGTGCATTTTTGACTAAAAAAAGTTCTGCCCATCAATATTCCACAGCGATTTGGAAAAACCGGCCTGTGCTGAAAGGGAAGTTCTACGGCCAATTTGGACTGTGCTGTTTTGATGTTTTCTAAGTTTTATCCTCTCTTTTCACAATTAATTATTTGTTCAATTTAAGAAAAACATGACACGCTATAGAAAACATGTACTCTCTCCTTTTTTTTCTTTACTATAAGGCATTTTTTGAGTCGACATGAGAATTAGGATGTGTATAAAATCAAGAGAAATATTTACCGTGCTAGTCATATTTAAAGGGGTTGCTAGCTGCTGGCGCGCATGCGCCAGCAGCAAGCACCTCCCTAACTACTCTATAGTATTAGTTAACACCCACTTAGTACTAATGACGAGTAATTAGGGAAATTTTTTTGGGATATTTTTTTACTAATAGATTAAAAATTTTTAAGTCAGATTTGAAAACTTTTGATTTAAGATTTAAATTTTAAAGTCAAATTTTGAAAACTTTCCACTCGGATTTGAAAACTTTCAACTCGAGATTCGAAAACTTTCAACTCAGATTCGAAAACTTTCAAGTCCAGATTTGAAAGTTTTGAAAACTTTCAACTTAAGATTTGAAAACTTTCAACTCAGATTTAAAAACTTTTAACTCAAGATTCAAAAACTTTCAGGTCCAAATTTAAAAAATTTAAAAACTTTCAACTTGAGATTTGAAAATTTTAAAGTTAAGATTTAAAAATTACTAGTAAACTAATCACTAGTAAGAAATAGGAATAACAAACAACGAAAACAAAATATAAAAAAAAGAAGAAACGACAGGGTAAAAAAAAGAAAAAAAAAGAGAGAAACTTAAGTGCGTACGTGCATGGGCCTTAGTGGGCAGCATGCGCGCCGGCAACGCGTACGCGCGAGTTAGTGTTTCCGCATATTTAAATACATTAAAAGTATAAAAGAGTAGTTAGGCTGTGTTTGGCTTTTAACTTTGGGAATTAATCCCTCGAGCACATAAAACGGAGTGATTTATTAGCGTATAATTAATTAGTTATTAGTATTAAAAATTTAAAAATAAATTTATATATTTTTCCTATAGACTTTTTTTTAAAAAAAAACATATATCGTTTAATAGTTCGGAAAGAGTGCGCATGATAAATAAAGGAGTGAAAGTTGGGAAAGAGATGAATCGAACTTAGCCTTATTTGAAACAAGGGAGTAGTAAGGTGTGTTTTAAGAGAGAGAGAGTACGTGATAAATAGGAGCAAACAAGAAGAACATGCATGTTCTGTATTTTGAATCTACTACTCCTCTATGTCTAACAAAAAAAAAATCAAGTGAGTAGTTGTTGGCTTTTGTTGAATTTGCCTTTCTTGGCCTTGGCTTGGCAGTAAGCGTACTCAGATTGCCTATGTTGTTAGGTTCCAATTGGGTTGTGTTTGGGCTTGAATGTTTGGCCCAAAGCTCAAACTGGAACAAAAAGGTACATTAAAGATTAGTGTTTACATGTTTCTAATTTATAGAATGGTAATTAAAATTATAATGCTACTACAACGTGTTTGTTTGCTACTCCTCTATTTCATACTATGAATTGCTTTAGTTTTTTTTTCTAGTTAAACTTCTTTAAGTTTGACCAAATTTATAGAAAAAACAAAGTAGTATTTTCAACACAAAATAAACATATTATCAAAATATATCCAATGCTAGATTTAATGAAACTAATTTGTTGTTTTAGATATTGCTTTTTTTAAAACTTTTATTAAACTTGAAAAAAGTTTGACAACGAAAAAAATCAAAGCAACTCATATGAAATGGAGGGAGTACATAGCACATCTTACATGGCTCCTTCAATTAAGAGAATTGATCATTATTTGCCATCCTTCCAAAATACATATGTTTAAATACCACTCTGTCAAATTTTCATTCACATTTGTCACATGTTAGCTTCTCTTTCGACTACATGTCCCCTAAAAAAGCGCAAGCGTGGGGTTCTACCCACCACGAAGCTGTGCACACTGCGCAGTGCTGTGAATACAACTTTAATTAATACTTTATTACGAACCACGGTCAGACCGGCAATCCATTGGTTCAACCATCAGACCGGTACAAACTGAGCCCTTCACCTGTTCAACATTATGTCCGAGTTTTTTCACTATGGCCCCCGAGCACTTAGCATGCTCTGGTCGCTCCTCCCCATCACATGCTATTTTATTGAGAGAAAATCCAATAAATATCATTGACAAACGTCCAATTCCAAAAAAGCCATCGATAAATGCGAGTTCCATAAAATGCAATCGCACAACGATTTTCTCCTAGAAATGCGTCACCTTTAGAGTTTCGTTCATCCTACATCGTTAAATACGTCATTCATTCTATAGCTGTCGGTGACATGGGATCAGGAGTATCATGACTAGAGGTTTGAGGCAGACACAATCGCACACGTGGCCTGGCACCCCCGAGGGACGTCGGGCCCGAGGGTGATATGTTCTCCCTCCTCTTAGTCCCCCCGAGGGGGTCGGGCCGCACCCGCCTCGGCCCCGAGGGCCGAGGCGCCCCGACCCCTCGTGGGTTTTTGCTCCGAGTGTATGGGTTAGGTGAGCACAGTGGGGCTCACCTAACCACATTTATTGCGGTTTGGCTGAGCGTGTCACGCCGCATGTAACGCAGTGCAGTGCACTCATTTATCCGGTCTGTGACCAGTCACAGACCGGTCAGATCGCGGGTTAGGTGGCGACAGGCGATCTGACGCACGCCTCGCCCCATCCCGTCAGGACGAGGGCTTCTAGGCGCTCGTCTCCAGCTGGAGCTAGCGTGTTACCTCCCAGAGATGGCACGTTAGTCCTAGTCAGATATATGCCAGGCTTCATCCTAACCATTACAGGCAAGATGTTGTGTGAAGAAGGGCGAACATGTAGATTGCTAAGCTGACACGTGGTGGGCAAGAATGACCGACGTGACTGGTCTGACACCGGTCATGTCGTCAGCAGACAGCCACGATTCCACGTCGCATCTGCTCCCGGCGAAAGTGGAGGTAGTTGTGGGCCGTCTCATCAGAAGGTGACTCGAACGGCAACTATACAAATCTCCGTCCATTTATGAAAAGGTGGGGGAAGTCCCCACAAAAAAGAGAGAAATGGTGCATGTGGTATCCCCTTAAGATATAAAAGGAGGACCTTGCCCACTTAGATGGGGGGACTGGACTTTTCCAGATTAGGAACCCAGAACAAGGGAGAGGCTGGCATATACTTTGTAGCTCCTTGATACACAGATCTCCCAAAACACAGGAGTAGGGTATTACGCTTCTCAGCGGCCCGAACCTGTATACATCGCTCGTGTCTTATGTGTTTCCTGTCTCGCGAACCTTCCACATACAGAGAGCTTAGAATCTCACCCTGAGTCCCCGGCCGAACCGGCAAAGGGGGGCCTGCGCGGTCTCCCGGTGAGGAGCCCCACGCTCCGTCAATAGCACTTAACGGCGGGTTGCTAATGGAACCCTAACGACGATAACATTTTTTTTGGACAATGTCGCTCGTACGATGGCATTTCATTAAACTCACACTTATCCATGATATTTCTTGAAATTGGGCGCTAATAAAAATGATATTTCTTGGATTTTCTTATTTATTTACCGCCTCCCTAGCATAGCCTATATGTATCTTTTCTTTTACCCAAGGTAACCAATTGTGTCATATCATTTGACCAGCTCTTCCAATTTTTTTTCCAAATCCCTCGACGATGTCGATGGCAAAGGCAGTGCCGGTTTTGGATGATACAAATTTGGGTTTCCTATATATATTACTTTGACATACTAATTCCTTTTCTTTTCTGATCAAGACACAAATTTTACCTCGGCTGCCATTAGTATGTTTTTTAAACTTTTTTTAGGGGAGAGGAACTAGGAAGGGATGTTTTTTAAACTTCTAAACAATATGCTTTGCATAAAATTTTTCTTTATAGGAGTTGCTTTAAAATATCACATAAATATATTTTAAGTATGTAAAGATTAAAATTTAATTAATAATACGTTAATAGCTTTTTTCCCATGTCCTAACTTCATTCCTCATCTTTCCTACGAACAAACACCTCCTTGTAAAAAATGCTTTTAAAGCTTTTCCTATGCTATGTACGTATTTCTATTTATACCAATTTATAACTCTATCAGTGTTACACCTGTTAACTACAAAACTCATTTTGTATCCAACTATGCAAATTAATATGGGTAAAAATTAACACTCCAAAACTAAATGGACTCAAAACGACCTTTGGCACCCTCAAAGGAGGAGACCTTACAATTCAGATCATCACGAGTCACCTGCTCTCCGAGGTTCCCCTCCACGTCGAAGTCGACCTTCCCTAGAACGCGCCTCTCGGTCCATATCAGATCGCGCAGGCCCTTCCGCATCTTGGCGTTTGCCGCCGCCGCTTCGGCCTTGACGACGACCACGCCTACCGCGCCGCCGCCCTCCAACAGCTTGCCGTCGATGCAGAACGACGGCACGGGAGCCCGGGCGAGGACGATGCCGTCATGCCGTGGTACGAGACGCGCAGCGCGGTGTCGTCCCTGCCCCCGCCGCAGGCCCGGTAGCGCGGCCGGCGATGACGACCTTGGGCCAGATAGGCGTGCGTCGGCGTCGACGTCGAGCCCCTCGACGCCCACGAGCCGAACGGAGAAGCTAGGGTCCGGTGGCCCATCGATGATAGGTGCCATAAGTACTAAGTACTACGTAGCAGAGCAGTATTGGAGTATACAAGAGCACAAGGGCCTGGGCGAAGTACTGATCCATCGATCGATCTGCAAGGAGATAGCTAGAGGTCAATATCACATTCTTCACGCATGGATATGATTTTTAGATCGCGATGGGCGGGAATTTGGAAACAAATTACTGGATCATCGAGGATTGATCCGGCACAAGCACAGGCCTACGTACCTTGTTTGGCCGGCCGGGAGAACGGAGAAGATCAGCCGATCGATCGTTTATCCTCGAGAACTAGAGAGATACTGCGTTCAACTGTTTTACCTGCATGGCTGGCTGGCTGCATTGCCGACTCCTATGCATGTACGTCGCCCGCGCCCACCGGAACATATTTGTAGCGAGGCCAGTACTGGATCATGCGTATCCGTACAGGATTTGTTTATAATGTATCCACATGTGCTTCCTGCTTTCCTTTAATCGAGTCTCCGTACAGGGTTTGTTTTATTTTTACTCGTATGTACCAAAACCGAAGAACCAAACATATACTGAGGGTGAAGCCCTGTTTAGCACCGAAAGGCTAGTATTAAGGTAGCGAATGCTCACGTACATCGAATCAAACTGAAACTGAGGCCATGCTAATTTGGCTAGCGCTTCTAACCATCCTTGAAGAGAGAGAAGGATAAATCAGGGTCATCCATAGAAAGAGATTCAACAGTGGTCCAGACTTTAGTACCTTCGAGTACCATCTCTCCGTCAGCACCACTCCCTCCGTCTCAAAATAAATCAACCATCACGTATAAAGTTGGTTTATTTAGGACGGAAGGAGGGAGTTTTCCCGTTGGCCTGCGGGACGCTCCTCCCCGACCGAGTGCTGCAACGATCATCCTCCCCCAATAGATCCTTCTCATTCCACCCCTCGCCCCTGGGCCGCTCGCACATGCCTCCACGATTTCCTATGTTTCATCCCTTCTATCTTTCTCATTTTCATTCCTCTGCCCCAATCTCCCGACGAGCCCATGCCTTCTATCTTTCTCCTTTTCATTCCTCCGCCCCAATCTCCGACGAGCCCATGCCGTATGTGCCTCCTCTGGAGGCTCGTAACCTCCTCCTCTTCAATGCCGAACTCCATTGCATGCCTTCCGCTCCATTTTCCCCATTTGAAGGCCCCCAAAGCAACAGCTTTCATATCTTAATTGGGGCAAGGCAGTGCATAGGCGCTCGACGCAGAGAGGCGCAAGGAGAAAATGATGACGGGTAGTGAAGAACACGTGAGCAAGGTTTACATAAAATTATTGTTACCAGTTTTACCCCCTTGTCAACGGACAATTGGATTTAAGTGGTACCTTGCAGTACCTGGTACTTGGTGGTACCTTCTTAAGAATGATAAAATTGCTCTAATTTAACACCGAAAAGCCTAGCAAGCGAAAAACCTACGCTGAATCGAACCGAGACTGACGCCGAACCAAATTTGGCACCGATCCAAAAGGCTAGCTAGTGAGTGAACCAGCATCGCACATATGAGACGTTTCCATTTTTAGCTAATTCCAGATTGTGTAACTTCTTCTTTTTACTCACCGATTTTGTTGGGTGATTAAACGCGTAATTTTTATTTTTGCCGTTTGTGGCGCTAAGGGCATGTACAATGGTGTCTAATAACAGGCTCTCTTCGTTGTCATGCAAGTAATTTGGTGACGTGGAAGAAAGAGAGGGAAAGAAATTGGTGATGTGGAAGAAAGAGAGGGAAGGAAATTTGGTGACGTGGAAGAAAGAGAGGGAAGGAATGAGAAACACCGTTGTTACGCATGACAACGGCTCAGAGTCGACTCTTAGCATTTATTAACAGAAAGTTTGTTGCATGAGGGTGGAGAAAAGGAAAGAAGTATAATAAAAACATTATTTATGCATTAATGGTTTACAAATCTTATTGTTTCTACTATTGTAGGAGAATAGTATCTAATTACATTAATTATTTAGATAGTTCATATTAGACTCTACCTTTGTACATGCCCTAAGACTCACGCCCATGCAAAGCTAGATGAGTTTTCCATAAACGTGTTTCACAATTTGTTACCATTTCAGTTGGTTTAGCCCAATGGAATTTTTATAGATTTTTTTCTTGTTTTCAAATTCATATTTTGATTTTTGCTTGAAATTCATCCATAGAAAATTTCTATATCCAAATGAAATTTATATATATATATATATAAATTTTATAAATCTAACACTCCTATGTATGAAATTTACATTTAGAAAGTTAGGCCTAAATTATAAGTAAACGTCTAGTGTCAAAAGTAAATATTTTTCATATAAAAAGTTTTCAAGTGTAAAGTTTGTAGGTGCAAAGTAGGCTAAAATCAAAGCCCACGCAAACATGCAGGTGGATTGGAGAAAGAAAGACTCCTATTCGAAAAACATATAAGTAGAAAAAAATATAAAACTAGAATGTCACGTGTTGTCCAATCCTATAAAAAATAAGTTCACATTACTCGTTACATTCCAAAATATAAGAGCCAACCACTTTTTTGATGTTTCATAATACAAGATACGCATGCATACAGTTAACTAGCACATTCCCTCTCCTTTAATTTTCTTTTGTATCCTCTATTCTTAATATTTTAAATCATATTAGGTGTATGTATTATATTTATTGGGTCATCCAAATGAGAAATATAATAATAATTCTTTATGGGAGTAGCTATATTTATCGCGCCATATTTTTTACCAAAAAATAGTCAGCATGTATTTCCATTTTAAGTCCCTAAATTACATATGTAAATTTATTGTATTTACAATTTAAGTTTCAAAATTACATACGTAAGTCTCAAATTACTTACTAATTACATATGTAGGTAGGGTGTAACTACTAATTTTAGTGCATTTATAATGTAAGATAAGATTTAAAATTACATATATAAGTCCAAAAATTACATAGTAATTACTTATATAAGTGGTGTGTAACTACAGTGTAATAAATTTGTATAAATATATAATTACAACAACAAAGGAAGTTGTTTAGCACGCTTGAACGTATGCATGCACGAATCTTATGGAAATCAAACGGTCTAAACTCTGACTGGAATCTAACAAAAAAAATATGTTGCCACAAATCTAGCAAAACCGTTCTCTTTCAGTATCTTCGTTAGTAAAAGTTGCGCCTTATATTTTAATATGGAGGGAGATATCTGTTTAGTAACCCCATAGGGAAAACATAGGACTCTCTAGGCACAAGCAAGGTTATCAGTATCCCGATTCGTATCCTAGTATCTTAGGATATTACGATCCTACCAAGCCGAAACGATACCGATCCCACCTAATATCCTAATTTTTATAGTATCTCGATCCTACTATTCATTACTACACGATCCTACGAAATCTTAGGAGGTATCCCGATTCTACGATCCCTACGATACTACAAAATATTATTTAAAATAACATGGTTTAAAAATAATGTAACTAAATATGCTCAAATTTATATGAAAATCAGTTAAATATATCAAAACCAACATGGTTTCTCTTGATAAATGTCTCTATTTGCATGATATATATCATTACTATATTTTTTATATAGAATGGCTAAAATATTATTTAAAATAACATGGTTTGAAAATAATGTAACTAAATATGCTCAAATTTATATGAAAATCAGTTAAATATATGAAAACCAACATGGTTTCTCTTGATAAATGTCTCTATTTGCATGATATATATCATTACTACATTTTTTTATATAAAATGGCTATATATAATTAATATAAATGTTAATTAAACTTAAAAAAAAGAAAATCTCATAGTATCCCGATACTACGATACGATACGATCCTATGATACGATATTACTTTGAGCAAAATGATACTACCTATTATCCTGATCCTGACAACCTTGGGCACAAGCAAGCGAAACCATGCATCATCTGAATTGATCTCTTAATGATCTCGCGCGCCTTCGAAAGAAGCAACTTTGAAATGTAAATTACCTAACCTGGACACCTTCCCCAGGTTCCCCTCCACATCAAAATCGACCTTTCCCAGGACGCGCCGCTCGGTCCATATCAGATTGCGCAGGCCATCCCGGATCGCGGCGCACGCCCCTGCTTCGGCCCTGACGACGACCACGCCGTCCGCTCTGGCTCTGCCATGCTCGCCGCCGTCGATGCAGAACGACGGCACGCAGCCCCAAGCAAGGATGATGCCGCGGTAGGAGACCCGCAGCACGGTGTCGTCCCCGCCGCCTCCGCCGCAGGCCCGATAGCGCGGTGGGACGCCGCCCACGTCCACGGCGAGGTCGAAAACCGGCGGCACCGCCGGGGCAGCCGACTGCAGCTGGTGGCACGGGTCGGGGTGGTCGAGCCCCTCGACGCCCACAAGACGAACGGAGAAGACCGGGTCCGGTGGCCTATCGATGATGGGTAGTACTATGAACACTAGCACGTTGAAGGCCAATATCATCGTAACGATCGGCACGTAGAAGCATTTGAGATCGTCGTCGGATTTCGTCATATCTGCGAGGAGTACACAAGAGTAGAGATCGATCGATATATCATGCACGCGTGGATGGTTAGACTTGACGGCGAGAAAGAAATTAAAGAATAGAATTAACCGCACGCGCGCGGCCGGAGACCACCGGTATGGACGAGATCGATCTATTGATCGGCCTCCGGGCTCCGGCATGCACAAGCGCAAAGCGTACGTTATACCTTGTTTGGCCGGCGGCGGGGAGAACGGAGAAGTGCTGATAGATCGTGTAGGTGTAGGTGTAACGCCGACGTCGTGGTATCGCCTTTGTCGGGCAAAAGCCTGTTATCCCGGTTATCCCCTGAGCTCGAGATATATCGCGCTCAACTGCCTAGTGCCCATACGTGCATCATCGCCCAGTCATATGCATGCGTCGCCCGCACAAATTACGGCCTAACTCCAACGGATTTTACATGTACAGATCAGTGTTATCTCTATCTCTCTACTAGATGGACGTTCGCATGCAAGGTTCGACCCTTCACCAGACAGAAGTACCGGCCCACTTTGTCCTCTCCGGTAGCTCAATCCTGCTCCTTAGTGAGAAATTTGGGATCGATTTCACGGTATATTTGTTTTCTTCTAAAATTTGACAGATATAAATATAGTGAAATCAATGAAACATGCATATAACTACAATATAACTTGTATGTAACATTCACCCAATTTATTTTAGGATTTATGAAAGTGAAAAGGAAAAAAAAATCACAGCGCACACACATGTGAGGATTTGGTCCCGCCACTTCTGTTTCATGAAAATAGTATGTTACCGAGAGATTTTTGAAGGTTACATACAAGTTATAATCACGATTGTATTATATTTACATCTATTAATTTTTTTGAAGAAAATTTGTCCACAAAATGTAGGTAGTCCCCAGAAGAGATCGCCAACTGGCATCGTGCGTCATGGTTGACATTAGCTGCTTGCCTCCATGCACGCTGACTACATCCACACCCATGCTCTCCCCGCTTCATGCAAGGTCGCCCATCGCTCACCAATATGTGTTGATCCCAACAATGTCGTCATCAGCACCCTCGTCTATAGCATTGTCCTGACATTATTCCCTAAGCACCCACCTCCCCCGCTTGCTCTTGTGGCAATCCCGTGCCCCGTTGTTACCTCATGGTGTCGCACATCATGTCCGACTCCAACATCACCAGCCCCGCGTAGTCGTCGTTCCGAAAACCGATGGTTAGGTCATCGCTGTTGTTGGCATGGGACTAGGAGAACTTCTACCTAGTGTCACTGTCGGACTCTGAGTTTTTCGACCGGCACAAGGCTGGCTCGAGGAGGCCAACCGCCTCCGCAAGCTCAAGGAGAAGTCCTGGAGCACCGCGGGAGCGACAGGTGGCCCTACGCAAAGTAGGAGAGCACGACAGTTGTGACATAGAGGGAGTGGAGGTTAGTCGATGTGCAAGGAGGCAATAAGCTGGTGGTGGCCAAAATGCACAGTGACCATGGACTAGCTCTTCCGGTGTTGGAGGGAGGAAGAAGAACAACCTAAAGGATAATTATTGTCGACGATGGTTTTCCGGCGTAGATGGTCTAGTTTAGAGTGGTATTTTAACTAACTCCAATTGAAATGATGATATTCCAAATCACTTTTTTTTCCGATGGCATGATCCCAAATTTCTGCAAGAAATACTGAAATGAGGAGAAGCACCGCCGTGCTCGCTTGCCTACAGGAAGAACCGAAGGACGAGGCAAGAGAGGATGACATCGAAGCTGGAGCCTTAAAACATGGCGACCGGGATTTGATGGCTGAGGCACGCATCACAGGTTGACAGCAGTGGACTGCGCCTTCGCTTGGCCATCTCCTTCGTCTGCATGCTCGAGTTCTGATTGAGAGTTGGAACTTGGAACCCTCTTTATGCTTCCACCCTGGACTCTGCTGTAGACATCGTCAATTCGTCATTTACTCATTTTCCAAGATCAAATAATAAAGCGGCAACATATTTCTCTCCTGATTCGGAAGGATGACTGACAGATTTAGCTTACACTCTATTATTTACATTTGCTAGTTATGAATAATGTACAGCTAGAAATACAAAGAATGTACACCCAAAGAATATTGGTTACAAGCTTCACTGATTATCGTCAGGAATCAGCTCTAGAATTTGATCTGGTGAAAAATAACGCGGACCCGTTAACACCACGAAGAATCATCAACCTTGCATCAACGTATGTCCCACAAACAATTTTTGATAAATCAAACATTTCTGGCGGGGTCTGAGTGCGGATCTCTTGCAGCACCTTCTGCGCAGAACTGACATTTAAAGTCGAGCTGCAGCTCATTGATACGTCGAGTTCATCCATGGTAATGTTTACTGTGGGGAGGCTAGCAGGCAGCTCTTTCATTTTTGAAACTTTTCTCCACTTACCACGAAGGTATCTCCTAGAAGATCTTGAAGATGCAACCCTACTATCATCACCATCCTGTTCGTGAATATAAATTCTTCCAGTTGCTATCCTCGCAGATGAGGTAACAGATAATGTTCCTTCGCTACCAGATTTGTCATGAGGCCAATCAGATTCTGCCATAATTTTGAAACCAATGTCTGAGGTCAGAGAGAACACAGGATCAATGGAGTCTGAAGTTTGTGCAAATGTGAGAAACACATCAGTGATGAGGATTCTCGGAGAAGGCTGACGAAGTGTTAGACCGATGTGCCTTCCAGTACAGTATAAGAGACGCCAGTGACCAGGTAGGATGTTAAGCCAGTTCTGAGTGAATAAAAGCAAAAGGAAATTAAAATATATTATGTTTTGGAAGAGAAGAACATGAACTTGAAAAGAATAAGAAAATATATGTTCTGAAAATGGACTGACAATAAGAACCATATCTATCCTGCAACAAACAAAATAGGAAATACAAAAGATATTATATCTTTCCACCTAATATTGATGACACCATAGACAGAAAGATCAAGTGAATTCATAGCATCAACGCTAACAATAATTGAATTCAAGATATGGAAACAATTAATTTCAGCTGTCATAGCAAAAGAAAAAGAAACTCAGCTACACAATCATCTCAAAACAAAGTTCAATCACACTGGATTCTTTTTATCAGGACTTGGAACAGGACGAAGTTACCTCTGTTCTTGGATTAGGGTTTAGCACCTCCATCAATTCAACAAAATATGCTAATCGTCTACGCTGTAAACATGGAAAAACGAACTTTATGAGTACCTTGGGGTGCCACCACAAGTCCTCATGAAAATTAGGAGCTATCAGATGATACAAAGTAGAAGTTTGATTGTTAAAATGTAAGCTTCATTAAAAATATGCCAGTTTCTAAGTGGGTGGAAGCTCAAGCCTTTAAACAAGATTTATAGATGAGAACATGGTATGCAGCTTGATTAATACATGTGCATAGAGTTAATACCTGATGCTGTCCATAAATATAATCTTCAGCCATGCGGACAGCAGTAGAACCCAAGCCCCACCGTATGACATCAACTGATGGATTTATGCGCCATTTAGGTCCACAAAGGAAGGGGTGCCTCAATGCATCCACACAACTGCATATTAATTGGAACAACAGAATAAAAATGCAAATCTCAGATGTCCAATAAATAGCAAACATTTATCAAATTTTGCAATGTTTTGCTTGTGGAAGTACTAACAGCAGTGAATAATCTTACCTTATCCTTTTGTCAGGTTTTGTTGCCAGCAATAACGCCAAAAGATTCCAACCAGCACCCCATTGTCGATCAAGCATCTAAAACAAAAGGAAATAATTCATAAATCACAAATAGAATATCAGATAGCTCCAAGAAATGGAATGCCAATAAATTAGAAGAAACACAATTCTTCACCTGCAGACCAATATTCCCGGATGGAGAATTTCGGCACAGAATAGGTAAAAGGAACTCACGCAGACATGCTGGGTCATCTCCCTGCAGTAGAGGATACCAATCATGGAAATCATTCTTTTTAGTTTTGCCACTAAAGCTGCTCAAAACTTCAAAGAAATCAAAACCAGATGTATTAGCATATGGCAAGTAATCCTGAACAGGAATAACTATGATTTGTAAAACGGATTCTGGCTTTTCATTAGGTTGACTATTCAGTATTCATTTGCTCAGGATAGTATTTCCCTAATTAGTTATTACTACCATATACCTTTACGACAAACCTATATTATCTTGTTGGATTCTGACAAACATTATACCTTTACGACATTAAGGATAGGAACATAGAGGATGCAAAGGATGCACAAAACGCACCTTTGTCAAGAATGACTTGAATTTTAGGAAAGTAGAAGAATCCATTAGCTCTCTCAGAACCATCTTTGCCATGATAAAGCCAACACATCTAAGGAACAAAAAATAAATCAAACTTCTAAGTTATAGCATATATCAGTTCATGATCTTTATGCACTGCTTCACTGTCTACAAAACAGTAGAGTGAATGCAAATATAATTTTCCAGCTTGCACTTAAGTACCTCATGTCAAATGCAATCATCATTTTTCTCCTTTCATCATTACTTGCTAATGTGCTATTTCTAGGATCATTGTCATGAAAATCAACAGCATTCCCAAGAATACCAACCTAAAAAGTTAGAAACCATGGAAAAAGGTCAACCATGTGAGGTTGCATAAAAACATAGCAACAGGATAAAGGGACAAATGGAATGCACATGACAACTTTCAGACACACAGGGGTTTACTGGGCATTGACTTAGGCCCTATTCTATTCTTCAACTCCAAACTTCAACTTCCTCGTTTTCTTTTAGCACGCTATTATTTTAAAAGTTTCTATATAGAAGTTGTTTAAAAAACAAATAAATCTATTTTTCAAATTTATAATAGTTAATACTTAATTAATCATGTGCTAATGAGGTTTCTCGTTTTGCGTGCCATAAAAATTTATCTCCAGGTGGAGATCGAACGGGGCCTTAGTGTTGAACATTAACTTTATGGTTTATTTTGAATTCAATATTTGCTAGCTTAATGTTATGAATGCAAGTGATATAAGTGCGTTTTTGTACACCAACATACTTAAAACAATGTCATACAGAGATTGTGCCAAACATATGGTACTAGCATTTCTAATCCAATAGTTCAATGATGGGAATATTGTTCACTGAACAAAAGTGATACACCTTTGTGAAATTTCCATTAGTCAAACCAAATTTATGATAATTTAACTGTTTACTATATATGAATTTAAGAATCTTTTCTTAACCATAAACTGGATTATTTATTCACTGGGCAGTGTAAATATGAAATAAGTCTGCGAAATACAAAATAATGTAAAACATGGACAAATATCACAGTATGATTTTTCAACAATGCTGATAATTTAGCTCAATCCAACATCTACATACAGTATTTGTTCTAATTATATATTGAATTTGCCAAATAGCTTTGAGTATTGTAACTCGCAGAGAGACACCCTCCTAGCTTGGCTAGACTCTAGAATGCAGTTGTGTATTTGTCACTTGTCAATAATTAAAACTGCAGAAAGACATAAAAGAGTAAAGAGAGTTCT